GCCGGTGCGCGTTCCTCCGTCGGGACGGGACGGGGGGATGAGGTCGCCCAGCGGCGCGGGGTGTCGTCAGCGTCCCCGCGGGGTTGCTCCTGCCCGCGGAGGGAGAGCAGCTCCTCCGGGGGCGGCGGCTCAGGGAAACCTGGTCACGGCGTAGACGATGTTGGCCAAGGCGGCCCTGGCCTCGGAGGGAGGGAAGCGCTCCAGCGCCGCCAGCGCCCTCTTTCCGTGGACGGGGGGATGAGGTCGCCCAGCGGCGCGGGGTGTCGTCAGCGTCCCCGCGGGGTTGCTCCTGCCCGCGGAGGGAGAGCAGCTCCTCCGGGGGCGGCGGCTCAGGGAAACCTGGTCACGGCGTAGACGATGTTGGCCAAGGCGGCCCTGGCCTCGGAGGGAGGGAAGCGCTCCAGCGCCGCCAGCGCCCTCTTTCCGTGGCAGCGGCAGAGGTCGATGGCAGAAGTCACACCTTTGCCGGCCTTGATCGCTTCCTGCAGCTGTCAGAAAACACAGGCACAACGGGGTGGGTTTCGGCAGCGCCGGCGCACACAACTACCTCTAAGAGTGCAGGGCTCCCACCGCCCCCTCCCGGGGTAAAGGCAAGAACCAAGGCCGTCAGACAAAGCTCTCAAATACTCTCAGCTGCTCCGGTTTGGCTCCTCACTACAATAGAGCTGCGGGTCATTTAACGACATCACCCGTTACTTCATTACCTGAAAGATGCTGGCTCTCCAAGGGGCACACAATTTAAAAATAAAATAATTAAAAAATCAAAATATCCGGGCATTTCATACCTAAGCCACTGTCTGATAGCTTTTGTGCAGATCTGGCAGACGAGCCGTTCGCTCGCTCTCGTTTTCTGCAGCCAAAAACTGCATTTTATGAACAGCCATTCCATCCCATTTTTAGAAACAGGCACAGGATGACACACGTTGAACTCTTGTCTTTTGTAATACAGGCTTTCATTTATATACCATATGATTACATTTGTTACAGTGGACAAAAGTGAATTTTGTCAATAAAATGGGATGTGTTAAACTTTATTGTACTGAACTATATCCATGCAAACTCAATCTTCTCAGTAAGGCTAGGGAATCTAATGATAGTTTAGTGATATGCCATATGAGAAAGAAAATATTTCCATGGAATAACAGACATTTCATGGCAAGCTACTGGAAAGATTTGGCACCTAAAAAACTTAGGTAAATGACAGGTTAGATTTCATATGAAATAATATGAGCAAATATGTAAACCAAAACATGTTGTTTTTTCCCAGTACCTCAATTTAGCTGAAGCTTTAAGTAGTAATCACATTTATTAAGGCCTTTTTTTTTTCATTATTACTTTTTCCTGAACAGCAACACAAGACTGTCATGAAACACTGTCATGTTTTTCAACTCTAAAGTACAGGTGTCTGCAGACCAACTGCAGCCTGATGCCTCTTGCCAGAGAGAACCAAGGCCAGATGGATCTTTGGGATTTGATTATCCCAAAAGCATGACAGCATCTTTAATGTGTCCCACCTGGCTTTCATAGGTGGGTTAAATCACTATATTGGCTTTTGAAAAAAATGGCTTTTCTTGAACAGATATCTACAGTAACTAATTATACAGTGGTTTATAAGTTCTGGTTTTCTGCAATACACAGTCCAATGCCCCAATTCATTTACAAATACATCAGTATAACCTTATCTATCTAGTTTAAATCATGTTAAAAAAGTCTAGGCCATGACCAAATTGTGAAAGTACACCAGTTTTTACAGTTATTTGCATTCATACAGACTGAATGACATTTCTTATCTGAATACAAACTGAAGTGGATTCATTATCTGTATTTAAAAACGAAATTAGCTGAAAGCGTATTATAGCACTTGAGTGTTCAAGTCCCAGTTCATAAAAATTTTATTCTCCACTTCAGTTAGAATCTTCCTGCGCTGTGCGCTGGAAAGGAACTTGCCCCGAGGCATAAATGCATCGCATAGTTAATTCAACAGATCTTCTAACGAATGGGAAGCACATATACAACCACAGCTCTACAGCAAAGGTGGGGATAGGCGAGATGAGGTACGTTAGCAGTGTGAAAAGGTGTTTCTTCCCCCTTCCTTGAGACACAACTTTGCGAGATGGCAGAACCCACACATCTTAAGCAAACTCTGCTGATTTGCTAAAGTTCATTAAAAAGGTTTAGCATACCTGGTAATACTCATGTAAGTATATATTGAGATGTAAACAGGAAAGAAAATAGCTCCTAAAAAGTCTCCAAACTGGTCAAAGATCAGAGGAGCTTAACTTAAGCATATATGATTGCATATATGTACTATGTCTTACTCGTAACACCAAAATCTGGAAAGGGGAAGAATTCTAAGGCAGGGGCACAATCCATTTACATGCTTGTCTTGTGTAAGCCCTTAGACACACGTAGTGCCTTGAAGCCAAAACAATTGCAAAGATCATGTCAAACTGTGTGCTATACAAAAATCAGACTAAGCCGCTACTGAATGTTTCCAAGGAAAGTTCAAGGAACCTCAAAACGAAAAAATTTTGCTCATATGGCAAGCTCCTTCCTCAGCTTTGCAGCTAGAGATCATCCTATGTAATGAACGATTTATAGTCCTTAAAAACTTACCTGTTTTATATTCCATTTGCAGAATCAGGTGGTCAATTCAAATAAGCATCGACTGAGGCAAACCAGTCTGGATTAACCAGACTGCATGCTACCTCTATCTCAGCTGGGGTTGTAAAAGGGAGAAAAAATAAAAGAAAAAAAAGAAGGAAAAAAAAAAGGAAAAAAAAAGGAAAAAAAAGAGTACAAATTTGGCTTCTTGTAGTGGAATAGTTATTAAAGAAATACAGGATATAACTCCATAAGAAACCAGGCTTCAGTGGCCCTGCTGTATGCAAAAAAACCCTAATTTCAGCTTTTAGCTGTGCCGTCAGTTGTATTACACAGTTACACTTCCATGTGCTCTCTCAATTTTTGAGCTTCAATCATTTTATGTAATGAACTTCACAAACTAAGTACATTTAAAATCCATGTATCCAGTTTAGATATATTATTTTTTTAATGTCATTTGGATAGGAGCTGCTAATTTTTGAGGCAAATAAATAGAAAAGCAAAATGAACTGCTTTTATTTGTTACTTTGTAAACTTTAATTATGCTCCCTCATTGATTTCTTCTAAATAAAGGAATCTGCTCTTTTAGTCTCTACTTATATGTCATCATTTTGTGCAAACATATTTCCACTTGTAGGAACAATTTCATCCGTCATTAAAACACAACCTTCTTCAGAGTGGCATTCAATAATTACAACCAAATATAAGTCAAATTTGTTTCAACACACTTTTCTCCAGTTGAACTGCTAGACAGGCTGCAATACTGCATTTTAACTTTTAACCTTTCATTCAGACTACTGGCACTACAGTTCTACTTCATTCTACAGGTGCCAAGAATCTGAAAAATCACTGACTGGGTTTTGGTTATTTAAATTCAGCTTAAAGAATATTGTCTTGCAATAGTTCACCCAAGTTAAGACTCAGATGGGAAGTGACACCATCAATATACCAACACTGTTTTTCCTTCAGCACCTTCTGTTTTCCTCAGTATGTTCAGATATTGACCAGGCTGGACAGTTTTGCCTGATACACATGGAGCTCAGAACCCCAAACTTTAATGTCTGAAGGTTGTTCTATGAATCTAAGCAAAAGCAACAACATCATCATTATCTTCACAGTCTGGGAAAAAAGATGCATGGCTGAGCACAGAGAACAGAGCACATCAAGAGTCTCCATTCAGCCTGCTCTACTTGCACGAAGCCCAGCCGCATCTGTTTGACCTGCAATGAATTTATTTTCATTTCTTCTCATTCCCTAGCCTTTAGCTGGAAGGCGGGATGGCTCTGATGAAGAGTTACAGAAAGAGCAAAAGAAAAAAAAATATATGGAAAGGAGGGAAGTAATGAGGGCTTCTCATTCTGAACGCTCTGAATACACACAGGAGGACAGACTGCTGAGTGAGAGACTGGGCTCTATTTCTCCAGCTTCATCCTTCCCTTCTTGTCACTTCCTTCTATTCAGCCATCTTATAACAGCAAACCAAGAGGAGGAGAAAGGGAGAGAAAGGGATGCTTTCTGAGCCCTTCCAACTTTAAGGCTGCTTTCCACTATCTCCCTCTACAACCACACCTTCCTTCTGTTCAGCCATCTTATAACAGCAAATCAAGAGGAGGAGAAAGGGATGCTTTCTGAGCCCTTCCAACTTTAAGGCTGCTTTCCACTATCTCCCTCTACAACCACACACTCTAGCCAAGTCCTTCAAATAAATGGTAACAAGCTATTGATCGTTCCTTGAAGATTGCCTCTTGGAAAAGAGATTGCCCACTGGAAAGGAGAGTTTTATATCAGCACCTTGGTTTCAAGCTTCCATTTCCTATCTTTCAGGAGACAACCATAAGCATCACATAGTTGGAGTCAGGACATTTTCCACTCAACCCTCTGTGATTTGCTGAGCCAAGAACAGAGCCAAAAACCAGAACTGCAGCCACTTGTTATGGAAGGGGGGATCTGAGTTCAAGACCTTGGTCTCAGGACTGCTTCCATCTCTCAGGTTAAAAGCTATTGGACAAAATTACAGAGGTAGTTTTGGAGCAATGGCCATGTAACCATATATAGTCCATTCATGGTTCTGTCCCTACATGTGGGAACAGAAGGATGCTTACGGATGAGAACTTTACTCCTCTGTTTACTGACTTACCCTTCTAAGTCCACCATAAAACCAAAAGACTATACTTGTGTGTCCCATCTCTCTGCTTATGAGCTAGTAAGATATTAACACTAAGAAATTGTTTCCTGCAGTAGAGCGTAATAATCAAAAGAATGAATAATAAAAAGAAAACTTGTGTTACCTAGGTCATACCATATATAAAGTTGTAGTGAATTCACAATCCTGCCTCTACTTTGTAGCATTAAAGTTTGGGGGGTTTTATTAAGTGTTCAGGCACATTAATAAGTAAAGGACAACAACCTCGATAGGGTCTAGACAGCCTTTAGGTTCTACTGATTTGTTATAAATATACAAATATACAATGAGTAATGAAATGGTGATGGTGAATCTCAAATCAATTGCTAGTTTCACATATAGTACTAAATGGTCATCCAACAGAAGTTGCCTCTAACCAGATTTGACAATTCAACTAAAATAAAATCAATGACCAACAGGCCAAGAGGTCCACATCCTGTTTTTCTGATGTTTAAACTATACCCTTTATCCTGCATAGTTAGTTATCTACACACATATGTTTTTCTTGAAGCAGTGTGTCCTTGCAGCAAAAATCATCAACCGCTTCTTGGACTGTGTTAACAAGTGTATTCAGCAAGCAGTTACTGCCCTGCTATCTGGAGCTTGTGGGACCACATCCGGAGTGCTGTGCGCAGTTCTGGGCTTCTTGCTAAGTGAAAGACATTGCCATTCTGCAGCTAGTGCAGTGGGAGGTTACCCAGG